GGGAGGGGGAGGGGGATGGGGAGGGGGACAAAGACGAGGGTATAGCACAATCGGATGTTACATTTTACAGAGCAATACAAAAATCTTGACGCCGACTAACCTCTTTAATGGAGCCCTCTTGAGCGTCATCATCACAAACCCACATTCCCAAACTCTTTTTCTGGAGCTCGGCAGCAAGAAGAGCATAGAACTCTAGTGATGGTCCTAGACCAGTGCCTTCCTCACCTTCAAACTCGATCTGAAGAAAACAAGTTGAAACGTTGGAACATATTCTAAGAACAGACAGTCAGACAGATAGTCAAACAGACGAACGTACACACAGGCAGACAAACAGAAGAACAGATAAAAAAGACAGACAGACAGTAATACATACCGTTACAGACAAACGTACACACAGACAGACAAACAGACAGCTGGTCAGTCATGCACACGTCACAAAGACAGACAAACAGTCGGACAGATAAAAAGACAGACAGACAGKAATACAGATATTTACAGACAAAGGTACACACAGCTGGCAGCCAGCTCCAAGGAGGGTCAGAAAAAAAACCTCTGCTCGCAGGGTAACACAGACAGACAGACAGTTGGTCAGTCAGACAGTCATGCACACGTCACAAACAGTCGGACAGATAAAAAAGGCAGTGAGACAGACGGACAGTATTACAAACAGATGGTAATACGGTACACACCGACAAACAAACATTCATGGTCAGAACAGCTTCTAAGAACAGACAGTCAGACAGATAGTCAGACAGACAGACAGATAGTCAGACAGACAGACAGACAGTCTTACACACTGGTCATTCAGGCAGACAAAAAGATAAAAAAGACAGATGGACAGACAGACAGAAATACAAACAGATGCTCAGACAGACAGATGCTCAGACAGACAGATGCTCAGACAGACAGGTTCTCAGATAGACATTCATGCAAACACGTCATACAGTCAGACCGACACACGTGCCGGACAGACACATCAAGAAACATTCATAGTAAGCGTTTCTTGGCATACATGACGATGATAAACCACAACAAAAGCTCAAAGAAATAATCCAGGTAATTGATCATTTACCTCTAAGATTGCCTTTCTACTGGCATGATGTCGTAAGACAGCCACCGCACAGTCAAAGAACTGAAAGGAGAAAATACCATCATATTTGAACATCTTCAAAATTATGAAACTAAAGTTGACTYATCAACCTTGAAATACTTTTATATTTTCCGCTAAATAACCTTTCAACCTCAGTAGTTTTCTTGTCAATAGGTCATTTGCATTATAGTGTCATTGACCTCTACTACCAGACTCCCTTGCACACTTTATTTGTTCAGTTAATTAGCACCAATTGTCTTACTATTCTCACGAGAATATACAAATTTRAATAAGAAAGTGAATTCGCAAAGCATTTTGGTTATGGTAGTAAAATGACGCCATCATGCAAAAGGCCCATTGTAACGATTTTTTAYCAGATAATTGGTTAACTAAGTCGTAAAGGTTTTTGTAGGTTGGATTCATATTATKAAACTAAAGTTGACTCATCAACCTTGAAATAATTTTATATTTTCAAAAAACGTTAAATAACCTTTCAACCTCGAAAATATAAAATTATTTTAAGGTTGATGAGTCAACTTTAGTTTCATAATATGAATCCAACCTACAAAAACCTTTACGACTTATCTTCAAAATTAGCACCAACCACAACCCCTTGGATTTTRGTTTCCGTCGATCAAAAATTCTCCGACCGTTGGAAATTTAATTGACAGAAGCTAAATATTCAGACGTCTGAAACGATAGTTATTTGTTTGGGATCAATACACCCYCTTACCTTGGGAGTAATGTTTTCTCATTTCAGATCACGTGTCATTCTCTTGAGAATATAATTCTTTGTTTGAGTTGTATCCATATTCATGTGTCTTTTAAAGCACAACCATTAAACAAAGAAATGATGTTCTAGAGAATGACACGTAGTCTGATATGGGAAAACATTACGCCCGGGTCRTTCTCGTACCCAGCTCCTTCTCAGCGAAAAATCGATTTTTCGTTAGAAAGCTGATAAGGGTTTGGGTGTGAGAATGTATATGGGCATGAAGCCGAAAACAGGTTTTAAGTTGAGTTGTCAAGAATTCCATYTTAAATCAACTTGATGTTACAATGTTGGATGTAAAAAAGTGTCGTTTGAGGGAMGTGCGACTTTAAGATCCTACCTTTTCTCCCCTTGGTACTCGAACTCTCTCGTGTTTTAACCGTCCGATCTTAAACTCATGGGAATCATCCCGCCTGAAGGTGGGTACGCGGGTTCTTTCAACGGCGGTCTCTCTTTGATTCTGGAGCCAGACTATAGCACTAGATAAAAACAGGAAGAAAAATAGGTAAGAGAGGCATAAAAGAATTAGGAAAC